ATCATTCTTAAAGATCTCCACCATTGGCAAGACTGCCAGCTTCCCACAGAAATTACTCCAAAGGCCTCACTGCTTTTATCACCATAAAGTTATTCCTGACACCTAACCCCAGTCTTCATTGCTGCACTTTAAATCCATTCATTCTCAACCTATGGCTGGTTTATCAAACTCAAGCACTGAATACTACACCCATTCAAATCGAAAAAGGAACCTTGCCTGAGTGAAAAAAAGGAGCAGTTTGGATCCAATGTCATCAAAATATCTGCCAGATGGCCTGTAAGCTTTTGATACTCAAACAATCTCCAAAACAGCCATGGACCTTCACATGGGTCAGATTTCACCCAAATGAAACCATATGTGAGGTGAAGATCAAACCATGGTCATATGCCTGAGAGCAGTAAGCTGAGCCAAAGTACAGCAAAATGTTTAGATGATAAAAATCTTATTGTGATAATAAAATAGGGCAACTGTTACTCGACCTCATTAAAATTCTTCTTCCAGAAAGGAATTCACCAGTGGAAAAATAATACATCTGCAATACTGAATCAGACCAGAGTTCTAGGAACAAAATGACCTTGGTTGTGGTAGGAGATTGCCCCATTACTGGGACAAACCTTAAAACTTCACTTTACAAAATCTGACATGCAAGCACAGCTTTACTCAAGCAAGCAGTCCTGATGTCAGACTACTTGCAGAAGTGAAGTTGCACCTAATGCTCACAGTGTAGTGACAGTGTTCATCCTGTGTCCATCAAAATCCATGCCACACCTCTCACTGACTTGAGTCATGATCATAATATGTGATGGCATTATAGTATTGCCTTAATACAGTGATCCCAGTGTTGATGCACAGAAATGCATGGCTCCCTAACAGTTTTCCAGAGTAGTAAAAAATATCCTGCTGCACAACAATAATGTTTACACTGCATTAATTTTGACCACTCTCAGAACTGTGATATGATAATTTTCTTAACTGGATAGTCTATGCTATGCACTACAAAAAAAACCAAAGCAGAACAAAAACCACAAACAAAACCCCAAACAAAAAATAAACAAAAAACCAACCAGACATAACATACTTAATTCATAGCCATTTCTTGTGTTATTTACATGTGTAATAAGAGTATATTTTCTGAAACAAAAAAAATATAGAGCAAAACATCTTTTTCATGCTATGCAGGTCTTATACTAGCTTGTATTACTTTACAGGTAATACAAATCTAATATACAAAAGTCTACAGTTTTTTGCAGATAACACAGTGTGACTACTAGAGAACTCCAGTGAATATCTTAACAAAACAGAAATAAAATATAACCAGAAGCTCAAATAATTTATATCCAGAACCATACTTAAAAGTGATATATCTTGGAAGTAGCTGCCATCCACAATCCCTATGAGAAACAAAATTTGTAATTCCACTCACTGGAAAAGATGGACTATGATTAGCATATGAAATAACGTTACCCCATGTTAAAATAACATGAAATCTATACCATCTACAGAAGCTGAAGAGTAAGCCCAGCCTTACTATCACAGCGATAAGCCCTGCTGAGGCTGGAAGATGCCAAAACTCCTCATTTCGTATTTTTTCCAGAAATGGCATGGATTTGGCACAACTAACTAGATCATGACCCCAGTCAAGCTCCTCTGAAGACTGTGTGGCCAGTGCAACTGGGAGAAAGAATGAGCTACAGCCTAGAAATGTAGTAAAGAGCTGCTTCTCAGACTTGCTGGATATTCATCGCCAATCACAACACTGAAACATTGTCATCTGTATTGTTGCATTTTTTTATTTTGTACATGTATATGAAATTTCTTCAAAATAGATCTATAACTCATAAATGTACTTTGAAAAAACCTCATTTAAATCTATATATCTATACATATAAAGATGTATGTAACTAAACACAACTGCATAGATATACACACTGCATGCATGAATATTTACCAGATTTCATGCATGTTTGTGCATATATATGTATGTGCATGAGTGTATACACCTACAAATGCATGTACACTGATTCTAACTAGCAGCATGAAAAACAGGGAGGTATAGTTCACCTTCATATATATAAAAATTTCAGTTTCACATATCAATCTACATGGTTCTCTCTCCTAGGAACTTAGAAATCAACAGCTAGTTTCTCAAGAGATAGAAATTAGACATCAAAAGGTAATAAAATAATGGTTCCACCAACCAGTTCTAAAGCTGGATAGGTGGTTAACTTCAAGTTTCAGCTATCCCAGATCATCTCTAAATCATTCATTCAATGAAAATTAGTGTACTCAATACAAGCTTTCTTACAAGAGAAACTGTAATCCTCTGCAACTGCTGTGCTGCAATTATTTGTCACTTACTCTACTGCATAACCTGGTAACAGATTTCTCACAGGACAAACCTTTTTATGCACTTTACAAAGGTCCCACACTTGGATCAGTGATGGTCTCCTTCCCTACCTGCAGCCTAGTCAATAGGCTTTTCCAGGTCTGAACCAGTTCCTGAAAAACTGAAAAGGCAGCACCTTTAGAGGCTCATAACTATGACTGAAATAAGAACCCCTGGTTCTTTGTGATCAAAGATGGAAAAAATACTGTGACAGAGAGAAATTTTGGCAGAGAGAATAAAAAGGCACAAAAGAACTTATAGCATAAAATATAGCATCACACACAGGAAGAGAGCAAGAGAGATCAGAAGGATTGCAAAATAAAACAATAATTTCACTGTAAGAGAAAAAATTCTGAGCTTGAAAACAGATTTGCAGCCCTAACCAGGGTAAACAATTTCCCCACTGAAATGCCATGAATTTAGACTACATGTGGGTTTTACCCTCTCTACTCCTAGTGACTGCCCAGTTGGAAAATCCTGTGCTGCTGCATCTCTGTAGAAAAGCTCTGACACCATTACTGCAGCTCTGCCTTATCAACAGTAACAGAGCACAGCTCTCACAAAGGACTTAAGAGCAGCTGTGATGCTGATGAAGAACCAGCTTCATACTGGAAGATTCAGGAATCTATGAACAGCAGCATCAGATAAACACCAGATAGATCTACTCCCAGGAGAGACTGAAAAATGAAAGCTGAAGGAAGGCAGAAAAATAGAACTAATCTTTTCCTTCTCTCTGCTTTCACCTCACCTTCCCACCCCATATCAACAATCTTTACCACATCAAATGGTCCTCTCCCTTATTCTCCTCTCACTTTTTCTTCACACCAAGTGTCTACTCACACCTGAGGAAAAGAAAATTCAAAATGCATCTCTCATGAATGCTACAGAGAGAGAGCCAAAACAAAGAGGCACAAGACTGATTGACTGATCTGGGGAGGGGAAGGGGGGATAGTTTTGCCACAAAGTGATCTGAAAATAGGAAAAAGACTAAAGGACAAATGTTCACAGGAGAAAGTCAGTTCAGCAGACAGGATTTAATTTGTAATGATACCAGAACTAAAGTGAATAAGATCCAACATGCAATCTACAAAATGATGCAGAATTGAAGAACAAGATTAAAACAGTGCAGAAAGATGACTTTTTGTATAGTGCAAACAAAAAGCACTGCAAAAAGCTCTACAAAAGCAGTTCCTACCACAGCAAGTCCTAAAGTACTTCTAGTTTTGACCTTCCATTTTCAGCACCACAATTTTTTCACCACACATTTTTCTGCTCTTACTTCAAAACTCTGAAACTAGAAGAATTCCCTCATAGAAATGTGATCACTGTAAACTAGGTATTTTATTTAAGAAACATTTCTGTTTATGTAAGTCCTGGCCAGGACTGCTCTACAACTCTCAAGATCAGGCTTTGTCCACTCTTTTGCTTAGCAACAGTGCATCCTCCACACGGGATCTAAACAAGCTAGGCCAGCTTGTCTGGCAGTGTGTCCAGTTTTACTGTTATAAAATAACTGTGTGCTGCTCCAAATACATTTTTGTAGCTTTTTTTAACAGTATTGAAGCTATGACTGGTTTAGTCTACACTACAGCTAAATAAAACACCTTCACTTACTTTCAGAAATAGCACACTCCCTACGTGTAATCAGTACGGCAGGACAACAGCAACAGTACTCCAGCTCCAACCAAGCTCCCTCCTAAGATGGGGAAGAACACACAAACCATTACACTCCTTTCATCAAAACTGTACTCTTTCTCTGCTTTCTCTGGCACGGTGGTCCTGCATTTCAAACGCAACTCTGAAATGACTTGAAATGACCTTTTTCGGTTCCTTAGCCAACAACAACGCAGCACAAGAGGAAGGCAGTGGGCTGATTCTCTCCTAGGGTGACCAGATGTTGCACTACTGACAGAAATGCCATCTTTTTCCAGAAAGCCAGGGTACTTCCCATCTGTGTGCCCCAAGCAAGCACTGCTGCTGGGGCAGCAAACACTGCCAAGGCATGTCTGGCACCCCATGCTTTTAGTAACCATCAGCCAAGGAGACCAGGTCCAGACACAGGAGCTTGTGGCAGGCAGGCCATGATCAGGGAATTTGTTTCAATTCAAGACAGAAGGAGAAGGAAGGGAGAAAAGAACGAATTATCAGATGCTGGTTTCTGCTTTTTTTCCAGTAAATCCCAGGAAGTTCACACCCAGTGGTTTGGTTCACCCTATGATGGAGTCAGGTCCCAGAGGTCAGATCAAGTCATTTCAGTGCAGGACATTCGGCATCTCTGTTGCCCCTGGCAGCCACCACTGGCAGAAATGCCAGGACTATGACCAAAGCCAAGCAGTTCACACTGAGGGTGCAGGGGAGGTTGTTCTCACAGTTGCTGCGGAGCAAATGTGCCAGGGCCACGCCATTTCGGGCCACGCCATTTCGAGCCACGCCACAGCAAGTGCGGTGGCCAAGACAGGTCTCCCCAGGTCTTCATCCCTTCAGCTGAAGGCAGGACACTTCCAGGGCCAACAGGGGCCTCAGCCTCCAGAGAGACTGGGCCAGGGCCAGAGGAGGAGGAGGAAAGCCTCTTTGCAGGTGACAAGGCCTCATGCATGCCAGAGCCTTGGAGCCCCGGCTGCCCTACAAAGGTCTGGCCCAGCCTTCCCTTCAGAAGTACCCAGGACACATGACATGGCAATGGCAGCATCTCCCCAGGCACGTTCCCCAGGTCAGACCCTCCACAGAGGTCGAAGTGTCACTGAGGGAAGGTCCGGCCACCCCAAGGCTCAGCCGGGGGTCGCCCCGCTGAGCAGGGGAGGCCGATGTACCAGCAGGCCGGCGGGGCAGAGGCGAGGGGTCCGGCTGGACAAAACACACAGGCGCAGAGAGCCATACTCTGTTGGAGCATTTTATTTCAAAGCTGTGGGTTGTTGGGTGGTGGGTTTTCCGTTTCCTCTCTCAATATTACTACACAAGCCCAGAGACCAGCCGTTCTTGGTCCGTCAGGGGGGCAGCGCCACAGCCCCAGCCGTGCTGGGCTGCCCGCCGGCAGCAGCAGTGGCAGTGGGCTCCTCGGGGCGCTGCGCCCAGCGGCCACATCGGCTGGCCTGTGTCCTGTCAGTGGGGTGGTGTGGACAGCACACCAGAGAGACAGAGAGAGGGAGTTACAGTCCAGCTGACTAGCTGGGAGAAACAGAGCACAGAAGGAGCTGGGCAAGGAAGGAGAGGCGTTTCTATGAAGGAGAGAAAAAGTAAAGTAGTTACACTCAAAAGTGGAGAGGGAGAGAGCCGGTAGCTCAAGGCTGGTTGGGAGGTTTGCTGGTCAGCAGGGCACCGGGGAAAGGGGGCAGGGAGGGGAAGGTTACCTTCAGCCTCGATGGAGGAGAGGAGGGCTGCTGCACACAGAGCAGCGACTGCGGAGCACAGTGCTGTCTTCATTTCTGCTCTTTCAGATCACAACAACATGAATGAATCTGCAGTGATGGAGAAGGGGGGAAGGGGGAGAAAGGAGAAGGAAATGATACGTGTGGATTAAAGGACTGCGTGGGTGTATTCATGAAACATAAAAACCACGAACCACGGATTTCACTTTGTTCCCTTATCCCCAGCCCCCACCCACGGGACCAGGTTGAAAACTCTAGACTTGAAAGCTGTCCAAGACGACAAAAGAACTGTATGACTAACTGGAGAGTCTCATCTTGCAATAATGTGCCTTTTGTTGCTGAAGTCTTTCCAACCACAGTAAGTACTTGAAGCTTTAACCTAGTTAGGGTTAATTTGATCAGGGAAGCGCAGTGAAGACCTGTGCCTCCGCACAGACAGGAGCCAAAAGGGAGCTCCATGACTTCATCGCTGAATGTGATGATAGCTAATTCAGTGGTCATTCCTGCCTTGGATCAACTAAATGTCTCTTTCAGCTGGGGATTTTATTCGGCTCCTTTTTCATAACTGTTGAACCACTTAGTTAGCTTTGTTTTAGTGGTCTCAAGGCAGTTTGGAAACTGTAATAAAATTTTTTTTGAGGGGTTCTGCCTACAAATGTACTATTCTTCATTTCTTGAAGGTCTGAAATAGGTTATACAGAAGTGTGTGTGACACACAACTGAAATCCGACACGTCTGTCTAGCCATGATGTTTCAACATCTGATAATTCATTTACATGTCCTTAGAGAAAACAGATTTAAAATACACTATTAAAAGCTGACAGACAAAAGAGTCTCACAATCGCTGTAGGTTGTCTGGCAAAAAAAGGTGGGATTAGGCCAAGTTAGCGGTTCTTAATTGCAAGCAGCTTCATAACTATATGCTCTGTGCCATGTAAAATTACTCCCAATTACTCCAGCCAAACTTCCAAATTATTTCCTTGTCTAAGTAAAGGCTAATATGAACAGTTCACATCGCTTACAAATATAAGTGTTTCTAAAGTTTGGGATTTTCTATCTTGGGAAGTAGGAGAGGGGCAATTTGTCTGAATAAAGTCATAAATGCATCATATATCATAATTAGGCTGGAGGAAAGAGAATTCCAAAAGCAATTAGGCAACAGATTTTCTCGGGAAGATGCCAAGAGCAAAACAAAAGAAAAATACATAAATCATTCATCCACAGAAACAACTGAAAGGGAAAATAATATTCTTTTACCATCTAGAGAACTACCCAGCAAGGCACACTTATTGGGTGGACGCTGTGGAAATCCAGGAATTTCCTAGTTACTGACACTGAGCTTAACAGGCTTCTTTTGAGCAGCTGTATATACTTGCCTTAGCCAAATGCCTTTACTGCACATGAAAATATCAAGAGCTCGAAGAAAACCTAAGCAATGGTTTCAGTCCAATGGCAGTTCCAGAGGGTAAACAGAAGAGTAATATTACCATAATGATTCCCTAACACAGGAAAGGCGAGCGTTAGTATTAAATTGCCCTGAAAGCTCCAAAATCATATCACAGCTCTGCATGGAAAACGGCTGTCCCTGGGAAGATATACAGCACTGTGCAGTGAGTTTAATGATCGCCTGAACTTCACGCAAAAGGACGTTTTGTCCTGGAAATCTTGTGCAGGCTTTGAGTGCCATCTCTTGATCCTTCTGAAGAGCAACAGAAATTAATCATCTCACAAAGGCATCTAGGAGTTCACTACTGTTGCAGGTCTACCGTTTTTGTTTCATGAAATACATCATCTCAGCCAAAGCATTCATTTGTCCACCCAGGAACACTCTGTTTCCTTCTTGCAAATTTAGGAATGTGAAACAAAGCCTGGAGGTGGCAGAGGAAAGGTCCTCTCACTGGCTCAGTTGTGACACAACAGACTTTGTGTCAGAACTAAAGGTTTTCTCATTGACCTTTAGAGACCGTTTAAAAAAAAAAAAAAAAAAAGAACAAAAAAACAGCCTTTCACAGTGCCAGTCCAATCTCACACTAACTCAACCTATGAAAGCTTAGCCAAAGCTCTCCCAGACAGAGTGCAGGACATTTACCATTTTAAAGAAGAAAAAAGTAACATAAACCAAAAAAAAAAAAAAAAACCGCAAGAAAAACCCACTACCTATCAAAGGCATAAAAAACTGGAAGCAAGAGAAAGCATCACCGGCAGCTGTACACACAGGGGAGGGAAGCGAGAACTCCTGCCAAAGCCGCAGCGGTAGCATTGCCTGCAGGCGCGCTGGGCGCTGACAGCGGGCTCCGCCTGGAGCCTCCGGCCGCCGGGAGCCTCCGTCTGCGGAACACCGCCGCCTCCCTATGTATTTCTGCCCAGGCGCCCGGCACCCCGCCGGGCTCCCCCGTGCCCTCCCCGGGGCTGACAGCCAGCAGCGCCGGGGCGCTCTGCTCTTCACCTCTCCTCCGCCCGGCCGCACGCCTGCAGCCGGCTCTGACATGCCCAAAGCGCACATAACACGCTCCTTCCCAATCCCGTGCCAGCCTCCAGCCCGGCGCTGCTAATCCCAGCCTAAGGTGCATCAGAGGGGGCTGCATGCGTGCTGCGTGCGGACAGGGCGGGCCGCGGGGGTCGACGGCGGGGAGGGCAGGGGACCCCCGCTCCTGCGCGGGCACACACAGACCTGCCGGGGTGGCCACGGGGTGCGGGATCGGTGACAGGACAGCTCCTCCGGCGATGACTCCGGCGGTGCCCGCAGCGGCAGCAGCCGGAGCAGTCGGACCTGGGTAAAGGGAGGAGGATAAAGATGAAGCTCCGGGGGCACCTTGTGGAGGGAGTAGCAAGTAGCAGCAACGGCGAACGAGGAGCAGCAGCGGCGGCAATAGCTGAGCGCAGAGGAGGCGCCTCGATTACTGTAGCTCCCGATGCGAGGGGTCTGTTTGGGAAGACTTGCCTTCTCCAAGTGGGAAGAGCCTCTTCTCAATCTGCTACTTAATAGAGGGCTGTTCCCAACTCTCAATTTACCCTCGTAAGCGGTTACGAAACTGTAGGGAAGGTGGACTGCTGCCACCGGGTGATATATGCGCTGCTCTGCTCCAGCAAGGAAGGGGATCCACTTCTGGAAACTGGCGCATACCTCCGCGCATTCCTGCGGCATGAGACGGGCGGCCGCCGCGGCAGCGCGCCCGGAGGCAGGGGCCCGGCCCGCCGCCCCCTCCCTCCCCTAGGCTTCCCAAAAGGGGGAGACACGGGAGAGCAGTGTAAGAACTGGGTCTCCGGGCACGGCTTCGAGGGACGGTGCCGCGGAGGGTGTCCCCGCGCAGTGGGTTCCGCGCAGCCCCCGTCGCCCCTGCGGAGGGCCCGCTCGCCCTGCCGACCTGGCTGGTCTCCAGGACAATCTTGCAGAAAAGCGCGGGTACTCCCAGTGCCGCAGCCGGAGCCTCGGGGGCAAAGGGGATTTAGTCATTTTGGCACAGTTCAGGTGTGTCTGGCCTCCACCCTAGGCAGTCGACATATATATAAAACACACACTCCCCCCGACACCCCTCCTCCACATGGGTGTTTTGGGTCGAGCACAAAGCGCCGCCGGAGCCGGGAGCAGCTGCGGCGGACCGAGCACGGCTCCCCGGGCACAGGGACGGGGCGCACGGCCCCTCCGTCAGATCCTGTGGAAAACCCGCGCCCGTAGGCCCTGTCTGAAATTCTGTGCCTTCCAAAGGAACTGCACCTTCCAGTATGGGGCCAAGCCCGTTGGTGGACAGGGTCCGCGAGGGTCTCCCGTCTCTCGTTCCCAGGAGCCTGCCCGTGGCACCCGGCGCGTCCTGGCCTCTGCAGCGTGCCGTGGCAGAGGGTGACACGGCGAGACACCCTGTCCCTTCCCTGTCCAAGAGGACAGGTCGTCCAGCGGGGCTCAGCCAGGGCTTCCCCGGGGCCCGCCGTCAGCAGCGCGTCTGCTCCCACATTAGCGGAGAAGGGCATCCCCGGTAACGCTGTCGAAGAGGTTCGTCTGGGACCCTTTCGGGCTAAAATACGGGATGCCACCGTCCCCGAGGAGCAGGTCCGCAACTCGGGACTCGGAACAGAGCTGGGCGAGGAGCGGGAGCAAACAGGGAGGGAGAGACCCGCGGCCGTCCGAGAGGCGCAGCCCCGCTCCCCCGCTGCCCCAGCGCCGCCGTCGGCGCGTCCGCGGTGCGGGAGCGCCCCCGGTGGCGGGCGGCGCGGGAGTGGCGGCCGACCACCGACGTACCGTCCGTCCGTCCGTCGTCTGTCCTCTGGGCCCTCGGGGCCACCGCCAAGGCGACAAGATGGAAACCAGAGCCAGGAAGGGTGGCGAGAGGGAGAGAGGGAGCCAAGCCTCAGCGCGGAGCTGAGGACCCCGGCTCGGAGTGGTCGGTCAGTCTCCGGGGCTATGCTGGGTCCCTGTCGGCCCCGTGCACGACGTGACTGGCAGAGCCATCAGGAGAGGTTCCAGCCGGGATGGAAGTGACCGATAGCAGAGATTAATATTTTAGCAGGGGACGGCTCCTTTTTCCGTGGGACTGGGAGATCAAGGAGCAGGCAGGAGGACGTGTGTGTCCTGAGTTTCATTTCTGTAACAGACCTGTCATCTCCATGGGAACCCAAACGCTGAAAAGAAAGTGATAACCAGAAGACATGCACTGACCTTTCCAGACACTTTGGAAGTGAGTCAGCTCCTCTTTGGGACACAGCACAGTTTCAGCTGTCTGGTATTGATAGAATGCGCTTTCCAAAAGCAACATCTCCTCTGCTGATAAACTTTAAAATACTCTTGACCTATTAATCCCACTTGCCCAGTTGTTGAGTTGGATTTTCTCTTTTGGCATTTTGGCATGGGGAATTGAGTTTCTTCCTATCCAGATCTGATATGTAATAGCAATATTTCTAAGAAATAATAAGTTAAGTTTTAAAAATTTTAATTTCCTGAATGAACTTACCAAGAACACCAATATAAATGAGGTGTCAACAATAGTTTCAGAAGAAGGAGGATCAGGGATTACGATGAAATATCCTTCCATAGGAAGTGGATTAAGGCAAATGAAGTATTTTTATCACTTGTGCACTGCAACAGTATTTTTTTACAATTCACTGTGGATTTTTTCCATCATAGGATAGCCAAGATTTTATGTTAATAGTTAAAATTGCTTAATGCAAATAATGAAGATGGAAGAAAATATGCATTATTCTATTAAACTTAAATCACTCAGACCAATTATTTAAAAATGTTTAAATAATTTGGTGTAAAGCTATGAATGAATTCATATGAGTGGAGACTTTGAAACTAATGGGCCTCTCAGAGTTGCAAGAATCTCAGACTCTCCCTCATAGACCCTCAGATGCTGCTGAGGGTACAACTTCCTTTTCCTCTCAGCTGACCAGCTTTGCTTAATTTCTTGGCCTGAAATAAGATTCAGAGCTGGCAAAAGCAAACAAATGACTCTTGGGGCAGCAGGATTTTGTTCTTATCTTTAACTCTTTGTTCTAACCATTCTAATCATGCTTCTCCTAAGATCATTTACATGTAAAATACACTAACAAATTGCTTTTAGAATGTGTGCTCCCATACATCACAGTAATTAAATGGGTTGTTTTTAATCAGCTCTGTTGCTATGTACGTTCATAGTCTGAGTACATAATATGTGATGCAGAAGGCATTTCTGAAATGCATAAACATTTACTAACACTCTCCTGACTGCTTGTTTCTCAGACAAGTGTTAAACACATTAAGACCCTTGCACTCCAGCTCTGTATTTTCTTTGCTATCTAAGCCGAATACACTGAAACAGTGACAAATTTAAATACAAAAATTGACATTTAAATTCATATTTATGTTTTTAATAATATTGCCCATTTCTGGTGTAGATATGTAATATTGCAGGTAACCAGGAATTTCTTAGAAATTTTTAACTGGTTTTGGGTCTAGAGTAATTCAAGCAACTTTGATCTTCTGGCACCTGTTTGTTTTTTTTTTGTTACCTCAGACTGAATTGCCAGGGCAGAATAAAACAGTACATTCTACATTTCAGCACTGTAAACCTTGAATATTGTTTCCATGTGGATACCACACTAGATTTGGCCTCTGTGTCTTCTTGAAAGTTAGTTGCATCTGCTTTACATATGGATATGGTAAATGCATTATTCATATGAATATATGCACTTGAGTATATGTTTTCACAGAGGAAGAATAAAAAAAAAGCTTCAGCTCTTTGAACGTTAAACAATTTATAGATTAAGCATTAACTATTGTACAGGCAAAACTGTGCTGCTGCCAGTGACTTGCCTACATCTATTGGGGAAGTACTTTGCTGGTTGGTGTATCACTGCATCTCTCTCTACAGTACATCTAGATTAAACATTGTCTTAGTACAGTCACTTAAGAGGCCCATTAATTCCTTACTGCACAGTGCACAGCCTTTCCACTGTATTTTTTATTCCCTATTAAGTCAGTCATAGAACTAATATTTCATGGTATTATATCTGCACCTATAAAACTCAGAAGGACAAAATAGAGCAAATTGCTTCCTCCAAGCTCTGCCTTCTCTGAGAGATTTCCAGTCTATGGAATGAGAAGAACTCAGTCGGGTGTTTATTTATTTAGATAATTTCATTTCAGAGCTGGTATTTAGAGATCAGTACTAGTCTGACCTCTTATAATGAGAACTGGCTTCTTGTATTAGCAGAGTTCAGAAAGGACTGTTTCTACCTGAAATCTACTCATTTAGTGGAACAACTGTGGAAGCAGCATCCCTGGAGAGTGTGACAGCCACAAAAAAATTATCTCCCTCACCAGGTATGTTTTCCTTAGCAACTGTTTATTTCTCTAATTTGTCTAACTGATTTTCCCCATCATGTAATACTCTGAAAGTAGAAAATTATTGTGGTTCCAGATAAGTAGAACTGGAAAAGTAAATAAATCATTCAAAAACAGAGGTATAAATAGAAAGGAGCTGGTCTTTTAATGCAATTTGGGAGTCTTAAAAAAGCCAGTTAATTTGTAGGCAGTAATTCTAAAAAACTGTAGATCTTTAGTTCTAAAATTGGAAAAAATAGATGCAACCATCTTACAGTCCCTTCCATATATATACACCAGCACACTTTATATTAAAACGTTCCTAAGTAAAGATGCTTTCTTTCAAAGAAGCTGGTTCATTATTTCATGACAGAGTGCTGATCTATTCAGGAAGCATTCTGTAATAAAGCCAATACAAATCTTGCTCGAGTAAAGAGAGCAAGAAAATAAAGTCACTGAGGACAGTGACTCTCTATATTTTTCAGGTGTCACACTATCTTTTAACATGACCATTCCTGTCACAGCAATGGACTAGCCACAAAGAATTGTGAATGCAAATCTAAGCATTCCTCTTCTTCACGTAGCTGAGGGGTCCCCAGTGAAAGAATGATGATCCATTGAGATCATCATTCTGACACTACTGAGAAAACCCATAATTTTAAAAAATCAAAACATTTTTAAAAATCACTAGTCATTAGCTTCTACTTGCAGAACATTATATTGCAATGGTCATTGAGTACCTAATTGGATTCAATATCTACTGAAAGATTAATCCCTGTGGGTTTCCCTACATTTGGTAACCCTTCAACTATTTCAGTGTAATTACACCCTACAAAGAAACTCACTATATTAATCAGCAACAAAGTCTGAAATGGCACAGTGCCAAGCTCTGAATGGGAACATTTTGCTAATTCTTCTTAATCCTTCTATATTAAAAAAAAAAAGTCAATGTATATTGTGACAGCAGGGTCTGTGTAGGTAGTCTTATGGAGAAGATAAGCTTGTGTATGAATTGGCAAGGTGCTCAAAGGTATTGAAAGTTCAAGTTGTATTAGATCTTTTTGTTGCAGACAATGGAATAGTTAATGATGGGGGGAATTTTAAGACAGAATCTTTGTCATTAGGCCAACGACTGATGCAGTCCTTAACTCCTCCACAGAGACAAAAGGCATTGAGGATGCAGAGATTCCGGACTGGGGTTGGAGGGAAGCTCTCAAGAGGGAGTAATCAGCTGCTGCTGCACTCTATCCAATGCACATCTTTCCATGGAGGTTTAGAGGATTTAAAGGTCAGCCCCAAACTGTCAGTTCAGCAGGACAAACATTCAAAACCTTAAGCACTCTAACAAGTGAATCTGATGCAAATGCACAGAACCATAGTAAAGGAGGCTGGAAAAGATCCTGAGAGGTCATTTAGTTTATCTGCTGTTATTTCAAGTACCCTGGACTTCAAAGAGAAATCCTCCATACCATACCTAGTACTAACAGCATACTTTGGGGAGCTGTTTTTAGTGGCTGACAATAGATAATAACTTGTTTTAGGTGAGTTGCAAGTTGTCCATAGTGTGACTATGAGCACAGCAGTCAGAAATAAGTTGGATTGACAGAGTAAGAGTCTACTCTGAAGTAAAAGGGAAAATTATTTCAGGGGGAAAAAAAGTCCTGTACCGGAGAAGCCTGTATCTTTGGATCATAGAATCACAGAATGGCCTGGGTTGGAAGGGACCTTGAAGATCATGTAGTTACAACCCCTGACTCCACAAAAATAGTCTCCTTTAAGTGTGAAAAATTGTTTGCTTAACTGATATCTCTGCAAACTCTCAGCCTGAGAGCAAAGAACTCGGATTGGGAGATTCCTTCCTGCCTGTGATTGTCAGAGGTACAGACCCCACCAGTCTTTAAAACCCCTTTTGCTTTCAGAATATGTCTGCATTTGGCAGTCATGTCGTTTTTTGACCATTTCTAAACTTCAGGGGGGATGGACTCTGTGATTATCACCATCCTTGCTCCACACTCCTCAATTTTCAATCTCAGCATCTTGATATCCAGACTGGCAGGTTGTGGCATTCATCACAGCTTTTTCCTTTCCAAAAGAAAGAGCACAAGAGGCAAAACTTGGGCTAGGACACAGCCAGGGAATGCACCAGGCCCATGGATTTGGATAGCCCAGATTATATGTATTTCCCTGGGACCTATAGGACTCTTATCTGCATGTCATCTATAACAGATGTTGATGGACATATGGAAGTTTTGAGGGTTTTGGAAAAAAGAGTCGGGCAAGAGCTTAGCTTGCAGGCACTAGAAGCAATGCCTAGATATCACGTGTCAGGACATTTATGAACTCCACATGAGCCACCTTTAAAAAGGAAATCTGTTTCTTTTGCACAAGTTGTAATTGGCTAGTGACTAAGGAGTAAAATACACAAAACAAAACAATGCAGATTTAACTCAGCATTTCTTAATGCAGCCTTGTGGCTGCTGCATCCCAAGATGTTGAATGCTAACAGTTCCAAATACCAGAACATAAGATTTATTTGGATTATAAATAGATGTTGCCCTGTATCAGAACTACTCTGTTGTGTAAACAGAAAACTATTGGCTTTTGTTTCTACTTTTAAAGGTTACTTGAAAGCTCCCACCTACTCTTTGCTGACAGCCTTTTTCACCTGTTGGAATTGTGGCGCTCTCTCATGTATCAACACCTCTACAGCTTGCTGAGAAGTTTCACTTGAAGCTGTTAAAATATCTCCTCTCGTATGCCCTTTCCTCCAATCTTTTGGATGCTCTCCAGCTGGCCTCGCCACTCTGTTAGTCTTTAGCCACCCCAGTTTAATGAACATGTCTTGCTTCTGGCATTGTCCTGATTTCTGCATATATTTCTTATCTGGAGAAATGTTTTTGCTGCAGTGTCTCTTCTTTGTTTTACAAAAAAAAAAAAAAAATAAATTCATCTGCTCAGGATTTTTTAAAAAATAAGATTTTTAGCACAAATTACGCTCTGAAACACTACCCAGGTTGTTTCATCCTTTGCTATTACATTTTCTTGAGTGTAAATGTTCAGCTGGTAAATCTGACCTGTTGCTCCTTTACCCTCTGCCCAGTGCCCTTTGAAATGTGTTTAAGGGATTTCCTGCTTAAGGCACATCACAACATGGGGCTTTACTACATCATGCTCTTCTTCCCCAGCTAGGAAGAGCAGCAGCTGCAAAATGAGGTCCCCTTATGCTAGGAGTAGCTGCTGGGACCTTATTTTTGATAAAAAATTCAGAATATGTTTCTCTAACCTCCAGAGAAGCTGAGAAGGCAGACAGGGCATGTGCTCCTTGACACACGCCCCTCCATCGCAGCTTTGCTGCTTGAGAACACTGACTGCACCTTTGCTCTGTCCTGCATTCTTACCTCAGTTGGTATTTGCTTCTGGGTTATTATACATTTAGGTGCCTGCACATGAGCTCAGCATCTAAACTTCTGCAGTGGCTGATGAAGACCTAGTTAATGAACTCAGGAGTGCCCGAGCAGTTTGGCCACCCACTATGCATGGGGCTTGGCTCAGCTGCTTTCACATTGGCCTCTAGAACCATTTGAATTTCCTGCAGCATCTGAGATCTCTTGTGGAGCTGCCAGATATAGACCAGGACCCACATACAGTGACACATCTCAAACTGTTCTAGACCACTTAGGAGGCAGAGGCAGGCCTCCAGTGCTGTTTTGGGTGTCACAGGCATCCTATTAGTTCCCCGTTGCTATAACACAAATGTATGAGTCTCCTGCAGGTCTTCTGTTCTATTTGCCAGCCCAAAGCAAATGTCCCAAATATAGCCTGAGATGGTGCTAGGCACCCAAGTTCAGGCACTGAATTGAGCACTTTCACTTTTCATCTCTGGTACCTTTGCCAGACAAATCTTCTACTGGTGCCAAGCTGGTGCTAGTCTGCTCAGGTAAATACATACTTACCAGGAAGCAGAACAAGACCAGCAAATGGGCCTGATGCTGATCAAAAGATGTTTAGATGGTAGGGATTTCCAGGTTCTACCCACCTGCTTTTCTGCTTTTAGATCTCAGACCCAAACAAAGAGGCACAGATTGTGACAGAGGTTCCTGCCTAACTCTGTAAAACACATCATATGCAGCCCAGTCATACAGTTGATGTCTCTCCTGCACCACTCCCCAGTTTTGTAACTTTCTTTCAGAAACTGCATTTACATTCCATAATTAATTATGGTCATACATATTATTTCCAAAAATAATAAAATCCTTTCCTGCTGCTATAAGATTTTTTCTATTTTATTATTTTAATAGAAGATAATTTCTTCATATTGCTCTTCTGAAATATCAGGCTATTTATGCAAATGTCAGAGTATGGATTTAGCAATCTACCTTAGGCATTTCTTTTTGAAAATCTCAGCCAAAGGGTGAGAAGGTGTGCTAACTTCCTTGTGCACTGCTTTCCAGCTCTGTGGCACAGTGGTCCCAGTGCAATGTTCCACACATGGCACATATTAGCACACCACACTATATTTAGCAATATGTGCCCTAATGCTCCTAAGAGATGACTGAATAAACCTTGATAACACAGTTGGCCTGGCTCCTTTGGGACTTGTAACTTCCCACTGAGCAATAGAGATCATTAAAATGTTTTAATTATATAATTCCCTTTTGCATAGTGCTGTGATAGATAAGATTGCATGTGTGTGTCAGCCTTTCCATTATAAACTTCAGGTCCCAGAGCATTAGTCATCCAGAGTAAGTGCTCTTGCTGAGATGAAACAATGTGGAACTATTTTGATATTATATAAACATATATAACTCAATTATTATTAATAACACATTAGTAACTTAAAAGTCCTGATGAAATCACAAGCTCCTCCTTGGAACCCTGTAGGAACAGAAGCTGCTCACAGTTATTAGGAACAAACTGTCTCAACCGAATCTCACTGAATCTCCCTCTCTCGCTTTTGTTCCAAAAGACACCTC